CACTAATTCTGCAAACTAATAGATAATTATATATGAAGGATTATATAAAGGAAGCAGCTGAGCAGTAACACTATAAGATACTCTTCGGCCACTGGTTGGGCCTGGGGTCTGGACAGTTCTCCTTCCTCAGTGCCCATGGGGGGTGTCACCCACGCCGGCACAGAAGGGCTGGGTCCTGCTCACGCTGTGGCCCCGCCTGCTTCCAGGGCTGCTGCCTTCCCCTGTGTCCCTGTGCGACCCCCGGGATCTCCACACTCCTGGTTCCCTGTGGGGAACTGCTTACGCCCCCTCTGTCCCATCGCTCAAGAGGAGCTGAGCTGGGGGCCAGGTGTGCGGTGCCTCCAGGGCGCTGCTGAGAACCTGCACCGGCCTGCCCGCCACTCCCCGGCAGCTGATATCAGGTCTCACCGGGAGCGGGATGCTGGGCGGGCGAGGGTGGTGTGCTGGCGAGCAAGGTCTGGCCTGGAGACTGGGTCCCCACCGCCAGCAAGTGCTGGATGTGAGTCCTGGGTTCTGGGTACCCAGGGGCTGGCAGGCTGTGGGGCCAGAAACCAGAGTCCCCAGGGGCACCAGCGCAGAGCGCCCTCCTGGGGAAGCCACTGAGCCTCTGTCCCTGAGGAGCGCTGGCCCAGGACTGGAATGGCCCCACCTCGGGCCCCACCCCCACCCACCAGGAGTTCCAGCATGGCCCTGGCCGCCCTCCCTTTGCTCCCTGTGGAGGGGACCATGGCCAGGCGTGGACATGGTGCCCCACAGCCCAGCCCTGAGCACCCGGTCCTCCCCTGGCACCCAGCATATGTCACTCAGCTCACTGAACAAGTGTTTATTGAAGGGTCCCCTGCAGCCAGGTCCCGTGCTGGGCACTGCACCCACAGCACAGCCTCCCGTCCTGGTAGTGAGGGGCCCGAAGACCCCACGCCAGCGGGGCCGGCCACGGAGGGCAGGGGCCAGCTGTGTCTCTCTCCCTGCTGCAGTGCCCGGCCACGGCCGCCGACCTGTGTGGTCCAGGGGACTGGACACTGCCACCATCCTGCACCCACTTCTGCTGCCAGGGGAGCAAGGCCCGGTCCAGGCAGAACACGGAGCCCATGCTGCCCAGAGAGCTCCTGGGGAGGGGCCGGCAGGGGTCGGCGGCCCCGGAGGACAGCCAGGCTCACACGCACAGGTCTCCCGGCCGGCCCTTCTCCTCTGCCGACCGCTCACCCCGCTCTTCCTCAGGGAACTGGCAGCTGCTGGCGTCTTCAGGGGACGGCGGCACCTCCGGCAGCTGGGTCCCTGCGGGGTGGGGGCACAGTTAGCGGACAGCCAGGCTCCCCGCTCCCCACCCCCGGGAGGGACGGGACTGACCTCGGGGCCGCGCACGCTGACTCCTCAGCTGCCAGACATGCAGTCCAAGCAGGGCCGAGGTCAGGAGGAAGACGCAGGCGGCCACGGCCAGCAGGACGGTGGTCAGCAACCCAGGTGGCTCTGCGGGCGGGCGCCCTGGGACACACACGGCGTTGTGGGTCTTGTTCCCCCGGAACACGGTGAGAAACCCAAACTGGGTGCAGCTGGAACACGGACACAGCCCCTCCTTCAGCCCCAGCTGACATCCTCGGCGCTGTCCAGGGCTGGAGGGGACCCTCCCCAGAGTGGGCCTAGACCGCCCGGCCGCCCGCAGGGCCCGCCAGGACTCACTCTGTCCAAGGTTTGCAGTGGCCTTCGCGGCCTCCGGAGAAGGTCCCCCAGGCACAGTCCACGCACGTGAAGCCGAATTTGAATTTCCCTGGTTGGGGGGTGGTAGGGTAGGGAGGGAGGGAGGAAGCTGGAGTGTCTGGGATGGATGAGGAGGGGCCATCTGGGGTCTGGGTCCTGAGAGTGACCCCCCACATCATCCATTCAACAGAGGTCCCAGGGCCAGGGCCACGCCTGTCCATCAGGGTCGGGCGTCTGGGGTGGGATGCAGTGAGGGCACCTGGAGGCTCCCTGGGGGCCCTGGGGGAGGAGCGTGGTGTGCGGCGGGCCTGCCGGGGGCGTGGAGGTGGACGGCTGCCCACTGGGGGCTGAGCGTGGGCAGAGGTCATGCAGGAGCCAGCCCAGGCCCCGGGCTGGACCCAGTGGAAGAGAGGGTGGAAAAGGGTGAGGGTCCCAGAGAGATGCTGGGTCCCCAGACCCCAGCCCCAGCCCCGTCCAACCTCACACAACCCCCTCCAGGTCTTGCTCCTCCCAGCACCCCTGTGCCCAGCCTGGCCCCTGCCATCAGGTAAACGAGCCCCTAGGGGGCCTTGAGCTTCTTCCAGAGAGGGGTGCAGCCCTGGGCCCCAGACAGGACTCCTGGGGGCACAGGGCAGGCCTTCCACATTCAGTGAGGGCAGACAGGATCGGCGTCTCCACCCCCACCCCAGGTTCTCACAGCCCTGAGGGACATCAGAGCCCTTGAGCTGGATGGAGACGCTGAGGCCGAGAACGGGGGGACAGACACCCCCAGAGCTGCACGGCCCCCTGAGCATAGCCTGGCCCGCCTGCCCAGCACCCCACACACCAGACGTCCTCTCTGGACATCTGCGCCCACAAGCTCTGCCTCGGCCCTGGGGGAATCCCTGGCTGCCTGGACTCACCCTGGGACTGCGCCCTCTGGCCCGGTGGGCACGGATGGTGCTGGCAGGCTTCACAGCAAGGGTCCCTGCAGTGGAACTCAGGCTGGACGCACACACAGTCCCTCTCGGGGCAGCACTCTGCGCCTGGGCAGGGGACAAGCCAGCCCCCAGCAGCTGGGCTGAGGCCCCTGCTCCCCAGATCTCCCCTCAGCCCTCCAGGGGAGTGGAGGGCTCAGGAGTGGCTGGGAGTCAGGACCCTGGTTTTGTCCAGCTCTGTCTTGCTCCGGGGCCCTGTGGCCTGGCTCCAACCCCTCTGTGCCCCACAGCCGCCCCCGCCTGCTGCTGTGACTTGGCAGGAGCTGTCCCTGCTGGACTCAGTGCCCCCTACCAGACACCTCCGAGGCCGCCTGCCTGGCCCCCTGCACTGCTGTCACCACCACCAGCCGCGCTGGGCCTCGGGACAGAGCCTCCCTTCCACCCACAGGCCCTGGAGGAAGAAGTTCTGGGTGACTTCTCTGCCAGCTTCCTCCCGAGACCCACGTGTCAGCTGAACCCTCACCCCTGCCCAGGTGCAGGTCAGGGGCAGGCAGCGAGGCAGACGGCGGAGGGTGGGGGCAGCTGGGCAGGAGGGGGCTGGGCGATGGCCAAGGGCTCACAGCCGGCCCAGCAGGACCTGGGTCCTCAGACCCCTCTGAGGGCGCTCCCACCGGGCTCACCCTGCCCCTTGCCCCAGGGCGCCTCCACCTCCCTCTGGGGCCCTGCCTCCTCCAAGGGGCTCTGGGGCCTCGTGCCCGCCCTCCTTAGACGACAGCGGAGGTCTGAGCACAGGGAGGGGAGGGGGCGAGCGCCTCTCCAGCTTCCACGCTGCCCTCGCCAGTCGCCCGAGGAAGCGCGGTTCACTTACCCGGGTCCGCATGGCAGCAGCGCGTCGGATGAACACGGCAGCAGCGCGCGTCTGTTCCTGCCCCAACCAGGAGGCGGCCAGGGCCACACCCCAGGCCCACGGTGGGGCGCTGACCCAGGCCGAGCGCCCACAGCAGCGCCAGGCCACACAGGACCCTGCACGCGCCCATCGCCGGCAGCTGCACCCAAGTTCAGGGGCCCACAGCGAGTTGGACACGCCCCGTCCCCGTCCTCACCCGCCCTGCCTGGAGGTGACTGGAAGTGATCATGACCCGAGAATTCCAGCCAAACTGTGCCCCAAATGCGTGTGGGGAGGGATGTGGGCGCTGTGGACACAGCCGGGTCCCCCCAGGTCGCCGGCAGGGGCGGGGAAACCAGGCAGGGGATCAGAATGGTTTTCTATGCAAATCTGCGGCCACCTCGGTGGGTCCCAGGCAGGGGCGGGGCTTAGCACCTTGTCCCAGGGGGCCTCCTGGGGGCGGGACTTGGCCCATCACCCCCTTCACCCCACTCCCCTGGGTGGGATCTGCGAGACCCTGAGAGGTCCCCACAAACCTCAGACACCCCCAGAGCACCTCAGCCACGGACCCCAGCGCTGGGTAGACACAGACTGAAGACAGGCACCCTTCAGCTCAGCACGCCCAGCCTGGCCGGCTCCGCGTGTGAGGCTCGCCATGGGCTGCAGGCCTGTGGGCTCCCCTTGCTCACAGCCCCCAGGGACCCCCTCAGCTGCCAACCCAGGGAGCTCCCGGGGCTTGGGAGGGGGCACCAGGAGGGCTGGGGGGACAGACGAGAGGGTGCATGGCGCCTCTTCCAGTCAGTGTCGCTGCCCCTGCAGGCAGCAGAGGCCCAGGGCAGAGCGGCCTGCCGGGTCTGCCGCGTCTCAGGCTGGTTCCCACCCAGGTCTCTGTGGAGACACCTTCATCCATCACACCACACAGAGCTGGGCCCTGGAGGGGGTCGAGGGGAGCCCCTCACAAGCTCTCCGGAGGCTGCCCTACATCTCTCTGAACCTCAGTTTCCCCTGTGGGCACCGAGTGGTTCTGGGACTCTGCCTCCACCAGGAAGCCTCTCTGGATTGTTCAGCCTGCTTCTGTTCTATCCAGCGCAAGTGGAGACCCCCAGGAATGCTGGGGGCGGGGCGCTGGGGAACGTGAGCGTGGCTGTGCCCACGGCTGGTGGAGCGGTGGCCATTGTGATGTGGTCAGACACTCCTTTGAGACCTGCAGCCCCTGCCTCACCCCATAAGGCGATTCCTCCTTTTCCAAGGTAAATTACAGGAATTAGCTGTTTGTAACGCCCCGAGTTCTCAGATCCAAGATGTAGGAGCCTGCCTTGAGAGGCAGCCCTCAGACACTGCAGAAAAGCGGGGGTCTCCATGGCTCCACGCTGCCCAGATGCTCAGAGAGAAAGGGGTGGGCCAGCGAGGCCTGGGAACCCCATCTTTGAGGGGCCTGGAGATCTTCATTCAGCCCCTAGCCTGGGAGGGGCTGAGCCCCTGGGGAGCAGGAGGCACCCTCAGACCTAACATAGGCGAAGGTGTTCAGGAAGGAGGCCCGGAGCCCCTGGCGGTTTAAAAAACCCGAGGGGTCTGCACCAGCACGGGCTGACCCCCAGTCCTGGTGCCCATGGTGCAGCCCCCACACCGCGTTCCCCGGAGCAGCTGCGGGAGTGACGTCCTCCCAGGCTCCCCATGACTCCCATCCTCGGCCTTCGAGGCTGGAGGTGACTTTATCTGCTCATCTTACTTTCCGGTGTTGTGAGTAACTCACGGGGCATTCACGCCACGGAACAGCCCACAGCGTGGCGGCCAGGTGAGGGGCAGCCCTTCCGTGCGTGCAGAAAGGGGAGGGCAGCTGTGGGGCCCCAGGGTGAGGACACAGATGGGCACCAGGCCTCAGCTCAGGCAGGGCCTGGGGCGCAGATGGCGCAGGAGTTTCTAGCGAGGGGCCGGGGAGGGTGAGCAGGGAGACCAAGCGGAGGTGACCCTGTGTCCACCTGGGTTTCGTTAGGAGGCCTGGCTGGGGAGGGGGTGCCACAGGGTCTGGGCCCGCGGGGGCTGTGCCCAGAGGGGAGGAGACAGGAAGCCACGGGTGTGAGCGCCAGGTTTGGGAAGGAGACCCCTTTCCCACAGCCTTCGACCTGCCGGCCCCACAGGACCTGGCCACCTGACCTCTTCCCCCACCCACCCACAGTCCCCCTCCAGGCCTGGTCTCGCCTGCCCCATAGTGGAGGGGGTTCTTCGAGGGGTGGCCCCCCACCCCGTGCAGGCTGAGCCTTGCACAGGGACCCGGCACAGTTAGTGAAGGCGCTGGGGGAAAAGGACAGGGTGGAGGACACAGGTTTGAGGGGAGACAGAGGAAGGGGGAAGCAAACCCGCTGGAGAGGCAGGAGGCGTCAGGCAGCCCAAGGCCAGAGATGGCGTCTTGCTTGTGGCCACTTGTGGTTGTGGCGCCGTGGGCTGCTGTGCGGGGCGCTCCCCTTCCCACCCTGCGGCCAGTTGCCCACGTCCAGGACCGCGGTGTTGAGGGGAGCCATCTGCCAGGCACAGGAGCCCTGGACAGCCATGGGCAGTGCCCCAGTGGAGGACACAGAGAGGGAAGGCTGGCCTGGGACGCTGCGTGTGGGCACAGGTGCAGCTACAGGCCTGGGCCACGGCAGCCACAGTGGCCCGAGCGTCCAGCCTGGGCCATGCCCTCAGCAAAACCTTCCATCAGGCTTCGTGTGTTTCTTTTTATGTAATTTTTTTTTAATTTCATTTTATTATTTTTTTCAATCACGTCTCACTGCAGCCTCAGCCTTTCCAGCTCGTGATCCTCCCGCCTGGGCCTCCCAAACGGCCGGACTGCAGGCGTGCACCCCCACACCTGGCTCTTTATTAATTCTGTCTTTCCCTTTATTTTTTGAGCCAGAGTCTCACTCTGTAGAGTTCAATGGTGCAATCTCGGCTCTCTGCAACCTCCACCTTCTGGGTTCAAGTGATTTTCCTGCCTCAGCCTCCTGAGTAACAGGGACTACAGGCACCTGCCAGAATGCCCGGCTAATTTTTTGTATCTTTAGTAGAGACGGGGTTTCACCATGTTAGCCAGGCTGGTCCTGAACTCCTGACTTCGTGATCCTCCTGCCTCGGCCTCCCAAAGTGCTGGGATTCCAGGCGTGAGCCCCCGCGCCCAGCCCCGGCTGTTTGTCTCCCACTCATGAGTGCAGTGAGGGCCGGGCGCGGGGGCTCCGCCTGGTTCCCAAGCTGTGGCCTCAGGCATGACTGGCGCTCTGGAAGCAGCACTTCGTTGCTTGAAGGAAGGACACCCACTCCCGGACACCAGCTTGCGAGGATTCCGTGCAGCTGGGGCAGGCTCTGGGCCCTCGGGCCTTCTCTGACACTCGTGGTGTGGGCTGGGGACCCATCTGAGCGCGCCAGCACTGGCAGGTCCACGCTGCCGGCGGACATCTAGGTTTCTCCACTGTGGGACCACGTTAAGTGGAGTCACTGTGGATGTTCGTGTTCAGGGCCGAGGACTCAGGGCGCAGGAGCGGGACGGGCGGGCCCAGGGCGGACAGACCCTGGCTCAAGCAGAAACCATGGTTTCCAAGGGGGCTGTTTCCCTGGACACCCACGGCAGGGACATGTGCTGCCCCTGAAGGTGCTCAGGGACCCTGGGACCCGCTTCCAGGTGCAGCGGGGTTGGGGGTGGGGGTGGGGGTGGTGGAAAACAGGGGCCAGGTCTCTGCGCTCCTCTTCCAAGGGCACAGAGGCCCAGGGGTCAGCCGCTCCCAAGCTCCTTGGGTGACCCAGGGCTCGGGGGCCTGTGGCCCTTGTCAGCGCTTGGCCAGGAACCCCCACCCCTCCGCCCCGCCTGCCCCTCCCAGCCCCATCCCAGGCCTCAGACCCTCCCAGCCCCCACCCCAGCGGCCCTGGTCCTGAGCCCCCCACCCCAGCGGCCCTGGCCCTGAGCCCCCCACCCCAGCGGCCCTGGCCCTGAGCCCCCCACCTGCCCCACACTCCCTGCTCAGTCTGGAACTCATACCCAGGGACCAGCCTCCAGGGTCCCACTTGACCCCGAGACCTCGACCTCCACCCTGGCTCAAGACCTCTCTCCAGCCAGAGGCGGGCCTGACCCAGGCCTCCCAACCATAGGCGCAGCCCCCAGCCCACAGTGCCAGTAAGAGACTTTGTCTGCTGGGTTTTTATTGGGCCCCACGGGGTGCGGAGTATGCATGGCATACGTAAGGAGAGAGCCCGGAGCAGCCAGCGGCACCTAGAACGGTGCGGCGTGGCCCAGGAGCATGGCAGGGCAGCGGCCGGCGCCTGCCCTGCTTGCCCAGCAGACCCTCCGGGGCCCAGCGCCCGCCTTGGTGGGCCGGGTCAGATCTTGGCCAGGGCGGAGTGCGCGTCAGCCTGCTCCTCTTGGATGGGGGTCCGGAAACTGCCCCCCCCTGGGGAGGAGAAAAGGAGGACAGAGTGGTGGGCGGGCGCCACTCTCCAGGAGCAGCAAGGCGGGGCCACAGGGCACTCACCAGGAGGCTTGGGGGCGTCGGGGGGTGGCCTCAGGTCCCTCCGGAGTAGATGCAGGGCCAGCAGCATGGCCAGGGGGCCCAGGAGGCCCAGGGCCAGGCCCAGGCCCAGGATGGCAGCAACCACAGGGCCTGCAGGAAGGGGCCTGCTGGGTGGGGTCCACAGGAGGGACACCCATGCCACCCTCCTCTCCTCCCATTTGGGTTGAGGGGCCCTGCTGGGCTGGCCCAGGTGCCCTTACCCCCGGCAACCTCTGCAGGCCGTGTGGAGGGTCCCTGTGAGGTTCTGGGCCAGGCTTCAGTGGCCCGGGCAGTGGTGGGCCTGGCAGTGGGGGCCTGGGTCCCCTGGGGCCGCGTGGCTGGGGGGCCCCTGTCCTCACAGACGGCATCTGAGCTGTTGCTGGCGGGCTGCTGGGTGCTCTTCCCGGCCAAGGTGCAGCTGCAGGTACAGGGGTGCTGCTCAGGCGAGACCCCTGGGACCAGGGACACCCTGGGGGGATGGCGAGGGAGTCTCCACCACAGACGCCAAGCCAGTGGCAGCCAAGGACCCCGCCCAGCCCCACGCGCCCCCACAGGGGCCTCCAAGGCCACTCTCTCTTCTCCTATATCTGCAGCCCCCAGTGGCCCCTCTGTTCTGTGCCCCCAGGGCCTCCCAGCTGCAGAGGGTGAGGGGCCCACACATCCAGCTGTACCCATGGGAAAGGCTGCTCCCCAGGCTACCAGGACTGCACTGCTCTCCAAACCCCACTCTGCCCCTCCCAGCCCCCCACCCTTCTGCCCCAAGCCCCTCCCAGCCCCCAGCCCCCAGCCCCTCCCAGCCCCCAGCTCCACCCCCAGCCCCTGGCTGGGTCCTCACTTGGTCCAGGGCTTGCAAGGCTGGTTGTCACCAGAGGAGAAGTGCCCTGGGGGGCAGGGGACGCAGTCTGCAACAGAAACAGCGTGGTCAGGGGCGGCCCACAGGCCGGAGGTGCTGGGGACACGGAGCAGAGCCTGTGAGGCAGGTGCTCGTCCCAGGGCCGGAGGTGCTGGGGACACGGGGCAGAGCCTGTGAGGCAGGTGGTCGTCCCAGGGCCGGAGGTGCTGGGGACACGGGGCAGAGCCTGTGAGGCAGGTGCTCATCCCAGGGCCAGGTGCTGGGGCTTGGCCTCTGGAAGCCCTCCCTGCTCACGTCCCACCCATGGGCGCAGACCCGGGAGCCCAGGCTTGGCGACACTGGAGGAGGCACGGGTGGGGCCGGGTCCCTGCAGCCCACGCCCCACCTGCATCACGGACAGCTGCTGTGCACACCCCGCCAGCCGGCCGCAGCCGGCAGAACTCACCAACTCCAAGCTTGTAGCTATGCACGGGCTGAGTGCCTGGCCGGCAGCGGCACACGGCGTCCTGCGTGGCTGTGCACCTCTGCTTCTGCTCACTGCCACTTCCTGAGCAGGGGCCGGATGGGGGGTCGTCAGGTGGGGGCTGTGGACACGGTCCCCAGGAAGTGTGGGCACAGGAGGACAGCGTGGCCTTCCCACTGCACCAAGGCCACGGCCAGGGGTCTGTGACCTCCCCAGAGGTGAGGCATTTGGCCCCTGCAGCCCCCAAGGCTCCTGGACTGTCCCTTCCTGGCCACAGGCTGGGTCGGTTCTGCGCACCAGTCCCCTTCCCTACCCATCCCCCAACTCCAGCCGCAATGCTTGGGACAGCAGGGCCAGGCCACGTGGCCAACATGGGCTTCCTGACTCCACGTGGCTTGGCCAAGTCTTGGGCCCCAGGAGGAGGGGTGTGCCCCAGGGAGATGCCTCAGCTCCTGGAAGGACCCCAGGGAGCGGCACAGACCCCGCTGTGGTTTGAAGTTTGTTTCTGAGGCTGTGGAGCTACCGCTGCTGTGCGGGAATGTGGCTGCCAGGCTGCCACCCCTGTGCTGGGTGGGGCTGTGGGCAGGTGGGAGCCCCGTCCGGGGGGGCTGTGGGCAGGTGGGAGCCCCGTCCGGGGGGGCTGTGGGCAGG